AAAGGCCAAAAATGTCAAAAGTATTTGGGAGCTTGTATCTAATCCTTAAAAGATTTTAGGGTTACCTCTTTAGAAGGGGGAATGTTGGAGAGCAGGGAGTAGGCATGGATTTGATCAAAATACCTTATATACATGTATGAAATTCACAGTAAGTTTTTGTAAAAATTTTTTTTAAAGAGTTGGATGTGTAAAGGTTTTAAGTGTAGGAGTTGACACGATGGACTACTTGTCTGAGGGAGGACCTGAGTCTGGTCCCAGCTCCCAACAGCAGCTCACAAATACCTCCAGCTCCAGCTCCAAGGTATTCAGGGATCCCTCTTGGCCTCCTTGGGCATGCCCACACTCATGTGAACACATCACACACACACACACACACACACACACACACACATACACACATCATACACATATTCAACACATATACACATATTCAACACATTTTAAATGTGAAATAACAAAAGGTAATTACTTAATCAGTGTTTTTCTACAGAATTCCTATAGAAGGTAATAAATAATCTAAAACATTACACTGTTGTCCATTTGTGCTCAGTAAGGAAAGAAAACACTATCACAAAGCGATGAACAGATCCATCAGAAGGCACGACTTCACAATACACATGCTGCAGAGTGATATATGCTGATAATTAGGCTAATGGAATTTCCCCCTTAATATCAAGAAGCTGTTTGCTTTAATTTTCTCTAAAATTGCCTTAATTTTCTATACACCTGGTCATGAAATAGCATCTAAAAATAGGTAATGGAGCTGAGACAGGAACACCCATTCAAAAATAATGCACAGGAGGAGAGGCTGGTCCTGCTCGGGACTGTGGTGCATCTCCATGCGAGGGCTGCAGGTGGGTGGGGATGTGGAACACTGTTCACCTGAGCAGTGAAAAGCACACCCACAAGAAACAGTTTTCTTCTTTAAATCTCATCTCAGAGTCCTCGGAACTGGGTTTATTGGGAAAGCTTTCCCGGCCTGACAGCCTGCAGTGAGTCTCTCTGGCTCCTGATCCTTCAGGGAAACTTCTAGAGAGGAAGCCTCTCCTAAAGAAGGAGCTTCACCCTCAGATCTAAATGTCCTTCCCTTCATTTTGATTCAGAAAGATTTAGAACTGGGGGGATAGCTGCCTATTTGGTGAATTTTTAGCTCTGACTACCCGCAAGAGCTCCTTCTAAAGACCTCAGCTCTACGGGACAGAGGCCTTCAGGGATTGAATTCCAAGTATCCCTTCATTTTCCACTGGAACAGTTTGTTCCTAGCCTGGGAATCTATCCCAATAGAAGGGAGGAAGACTTAGCCTGGAACAAGACAATGGAAGTCTCTGATGAGCTTTCTTGTCTTGTTACCTTGATCAAGACCCCCAGAACACTCTCTCCCAGGAGGAAAGACAGAGGGTTTGCTGAACCAGCTTGCACTAGTTAATTGACCAAAGTCAACTAAAAGAGTTAGACATGCTGGGTCGCACCTGGCTCTATACTGTTTGCTGATCAGCTTCTCCCAAGATGAACTGAGGTCATGAGGGGGCTGCCAGGCAGTGTCAGAGAAGATACTGTTGAGAGGGTCAGAAAACACTGGAGGCAAGAATCTAGAATGCACGTGTTTAATGAGTAAACCTAGAAAGAATCATATACTGTTCTTCCCCACAGCCACAGAAAAAATATTAAAAATAGGGAATGTAACACAAGCTCACAGTCACCAGGAATGCTACTGTCACAGGAGGCTTTTGTTGTAGAACAAAGTGTCTGGTCATCCCTGCTCTGAGATGTCCAAACAGAATAGTACCCAGTTGGACCCTTGGTTCTTTTAAAAGAGCAGTGAAAACTGTCACCATTACTTCAGGGGAGAGCAAAGAGAAATAAGGATAAATAATGGAAGTTGGGGAACCATTTGGAGGAGCCAGGGATGTTTACCAAGAAGAGAAAACTGGGGTGGGGTGAGCCTGGGGCCGCTTTCAGACACCCCAAAGACCACCCGTTAGCGAGAAGGTTGGCTTTCTTCTCTTGGGGAATGCGCTTGCCAGACATGAACGCATCCTTCATCTCATAATGGATGTGTTCTTAGAAAAGTGTGTGATGGGTAATTGGCCGCTTGACAGGATCTGGAATCACCTGAAAGATGGGCCTCTGGGCCTGCCTGTGGGGGGTATGTTAATGACGTTGATTATATTAATTGATGTGAGAAGGACCCATTTTACCTGCAGACAGGGCGGTTCCCTGGGCAGGGGATCCCGGACTGTCTAAAGAGGAGAAAGCGAGCGGAGCCACAGCACTCCTCCTCTGTTTCCTGATTGTGCATGAAGTATGCCCCACTGCCACAGCTGCCGGGGCCTTGACATCACCACGTGATAGTCTGTAGTTACTTGATCTAAAATAAACCCGAGTTGCTTTCCTCAGAGTATTGCATCACAGCAACAGGATAAGGAGCTAAGACAGTAAGTTCATTTTTTGCCTAGGAAATAGTTTCAGCTATAATTGAAAGGAATTCTGCTGTGAATTTTATTACCATAGTGAAGAATGGCATAAACCTTTTTACCATAAATAATAACCTTCTGAATAGTAACTTATGAATTTGGGCTTACTGTGTCTAGGGCAAGATGAAGATAAGTTTAACAAATCATCTTTCAAAAACTGGGTCAAGAAGGAAATTAAGCTAGCCAGGTGGTGTCCCAAGAGGCTAAAAGAAAAAGCCAGAAAAAAATCGGGTTAAGAGCCAGGTGTGGTGGCGCACACCTGTAGTCCCAGCACTTGGGAGGCAGAGGGAGGCGGATCTCTGTGAGTTCAAGGCCAGCCTGGTCTACATAGTGAGTTCCAGGCCAGCTGGGGCTACAGGGTCCGGTAAAGAGAAATTAAACAATGAGACGTCCTCACATAAAAAGTTGGGACTGAACTCTTACCTCTGCCTTGTTCCTGGACTCAGCAAATGACGTCTTGCGTCCCTCCCTCCCTCCCTCCCTCAGCTCTTGTCTCCTGCGTCCAGCAGCAGCAGCGGTTCGCTGTCCCCTGCTGCTTCGGCGGATTGCCCGGTTAACCGTGGAGGGCCAGGCCGGAGCCACGTGGCAGCGTTGCGCAGTCGATTTGAGTTGGAACACGCTCTCAATGCAAGGTCCTACCCTGCCTGGTCTCAGGGGTGAGTGGTGATCGCAGCTATGGTCTCGTTGGATGGCCAGTGCTCATTTTCCTTCTCTCATGATCGAAAGTTTAAAATTCACTCCTCATTAATTTAGCTTCTTCTGTATGTCACAAGTACTAGCCTAGCCGTGGGCACAGGGAGAAATGTCTGTTTTGAAGTAGCCAGAGGAATATATTGAAAATATGCTGTGGTCTTACGGAATCCAAGCAAGGGCTCCTGTTTGGGAACCTGGAAACAGTTGCACCAGGCCCAGGCCTCAATAGTTTCACTCCTGGGAATATACCCTGTGTGCAGATCTTCACAGTAGCCAAAAAACAAAATGGAAACAACTCAAGTGTCCATCAGAGGACGGAGACACAATGTGTGGGTGGAATCCATACAGCACGATATTATCCATCCATAAAAAGGAATAAGATCCTAGTACATAATAATACTACTACAACCTGCATAAACCCTGAAAACATGTCAGCAGAGGCCCCATATTATATAAACTCATTTATAAGGTCCAGATAGGTGTGTGATCAATTTGGGCACACCATACACACACACACCCCTTTATATGTATATACATACACACTGGGTGACTTGAAGCATGGGAAGCCTAATGTCAGGGTGCCTGTATGGCTGAGTTCAGGCCCAGTGTCTCTTGCTGCCTCACAGAAGACTCCATCTTTCCATGTCTTCACGGGGGTAGGAGAGTGTGGGAGCATCTTCATCTTCCCATAAAGGGCACCAGTTCCACTGTCTTAACTCTGATCTATGGTTCCGTAGTTACTTCCTCAGAGGCCCTATTTTGAATGTGGTCATGTAAGAGATTGGGGTTTCAACATATAAATAAGAGGAAATACAATCCAGTTCATATCAACAGGCAAATCTATGAAAAAGCAAAACAGAAACAGATAGATATTGCCAAGAACCGGATAGGAAGGGGTTAGGAAGAACTTCCTGGTGGATATGAGGTGTTACTTTGGATAATGAAAACATTTGGGAGTTAGAGGTGGTAAACTATGGATCCAGTAACATCAGGAGACAGGTAGTTGTAAAAACACTACAAATGTGTTCAATACCACTGAACTCTCATCTTAAATGGTTAATTTTATATCATGTGAACTTCATCTAGTTCACTCCCTCTGTAGAAAACTCTTCCATTCACACACCCCTGGCCTAGAAGGCTTTTATCTTTTCAGCTTAACTGAAGATTCAAGAAGGGACAGGACCCTCATTACTGATTTGAGAATTCTGTACAATGGCCCATCTCAGAATTCAGGGACTTACATCCATCCATTCTGGCTCACGTGTCTGGGGGCTGGTTCTGGGTGAATTGAACATTAAAATGGATTGTTTCTGGGTCTGTTCTCTGTTTCTCACTCTGCTCAGTGCACACTAGAACATGCTTGGGCCATGCTCTCCTCACAGACAAAGGCCTGGAACTTCACAGGCAGGCTTACAGCCTCTGCTCAGGTATCAATCTCTGACATTCTGTTGGTCAATCACAGAGCACAGTTTCAACATCAACAGAAAATTGTGCTTGGCCTCTAGCAGAGGACATCGATAAGAATGACATAACATTATTGGGTATATGGATGATATTGCATGGTGAGTCAGTGATTACTTCCTGGTCACCAGTAAGAAGGTATACGTGGGAATGGGTGAGTTAAACAGCCATTACTGGTCTAAGCACAAAGGGTTGGAGACAAAATGAGCTGATGGTCCATTTCATAGAAGGTTGAACTCAGGAACAGTGAACTTGATAGAGACCTTCAAACGTGCTTCTAGTAATAGGTAGGGACAAGAAAAGGCCCTGTATAAGGCCCAGAGTTTTTGTACATGAGCCCGTTTACACACTGTACACTCAACTATCAGAGCAAAAGTTGTCCACATGCCCAAGGTAGGAGAAAGTTATGAGGAGCGAGGAAGAGCCTTACACGTTCTTCAAATGACCCATTGCTTTTATAGCTGAAGTCCCAGTTTATAAGTTTAATTGTATTCCCAATCTGGCAAAAGAGTTGCAGCTACAGCAATGGGCAGACAGAAACCTGACAGCTCTAATGTACCGAGTGTCATGGAAGTAACTGCGACCAGGCTTGACGGATAACCAGGCAAACTGGACGGGGTTACTTACTGGATTTCAGTCTCCACCACGATTTCACAAGGGCCACAGGCAGAGACTGGATTAGCTTTCATCGCACTGCCATCTTCCAGTTCCATCCGTGTCTCTTATTTATTCCCAACTTATGGTTTAAAGAAGTAGTTCTCTAAGCAGTCAGGTCCTGATACTTCTAAGCAGTCACTGAGGTTGGTCTAATAGAGACAGAAGCTATGGACGCAAGCTCCAAATCTTCACTCCCAGTCTTTGCAACGTTTACCAAAGATTTTCAGAATCATGTGTAAAGTAGAAATGAAAATCCAGCTCCTAGGACTGTTACAGAGGAGAGGCACTGTTTTGTAACACACGGTGATTGACAGATACAAGCAGGCTCGAGCACAAAATATAGATCTGCTATTGTGGATGAATCAGAGAATTTGCCCCTCAGAGAACTACAGAGAATGAGAATCATAGCCACACACTGAGCTGGGCAAGTGGGGGAGGAAGGAACATGGCTTCACTGGCCAGCAAGAACCTAGGGAGATAGCCACTGTTGATACAACTGCCCAAGTGAGTGCACAGTCACCACCAGGCTCTGTCCGGGGGCCCCCCAGGCTCTGTGGACCACCCCCTTTCCTGTTTTCCTCAGGTTCTTCAGTTTTCCAGCCCTGTGGTTGTCACAGAACTGGCAAAAGTGTGCGGTTTGCATGCAAATTTCTCAGAACAGCCTAGCAATGCTGAGGACTTCCTGCAAAGGTTAACCAAAGTTTCCGTTTGTTATTTGCACCCCCTCCAAGTGAACAGAGTCTGGATTATTTGAGATCCATAACAGTGGTGTTCTGGTGAAGCATTTAGGGGAACTACATAATGTGTCAAGAGAGGAATTCTCTATTTTTTAAAATATTTTATGTGTATGAGTATATTGCGTGCACATATGTAAGTGCACCCATGTCATGCAGTGCCCACCGAGGTCACTGGAGGGCATCAGATCCCTGGAGCTGGAGTTACAGACGGTTGTTAGCCACCATGTGGGTGCTGGATATCAAACCCTGGTCCTCAGCAAAAGCAGCCAGAGCTTTTAACCACTGAGCCACCTCTCCGACCCTGGAATCCTGTGTTTTTGTTATTTTATTTAAATAATAAAAGCATTTGATTGATATAAGGCCATTAAATAACAAATATTAGTGTGGCAGATAAAGAATGAAAAATAGGGTGAATTGATTCACTACATGATAATTACCATGAATTTGGAGTCTAATCAGTGAACAGCTTCTACTGCTTCTCCTTTTAAACAGTTATCACTATGGAAAATAGGGCACAGCTTTAAATACTCCAAATAGCCATCTAGTTAAGCTTTAAGAGGCAGGCCTTCCAGGTTTTGTGGATCAGGAAACTGAAGCTCAGAGCGTATAAGCAGCTTTCCTGAGCGAGCCAGAGTCCCACCCAGGCCTCTGCTGTGCGTTCTAGATTTCTTCTAGATTTCTCTGCTGCAAGAGGCAGCAGCTTCCAGAAGCTTGTTGTGTTTTGCCAATACTTGTATTTGTTGGACATCTCCCAGTTTGTTCTGGAAGTTGATCAAGAATGGATGCAGCTCCTCACAAGCCTACTTTCCAGCTTCTCTTTATGAGGACAGACCAAAGGAGATCAGCAATCAGTTGGTTCTTAAAGTGAAAGAGCCCAAGGACCCACGGATTTATGGACTGAGTCCAGCAGGGCCATGGGGCTAACTGTGTACAGTGGTTCTCAACTATGCATGTTAGACTCGCCTGGGATGCTCTTACGTTACCAGTGCCCAGAACCAATTAAAGTCCATCAGCGTGGCACCTGGGCCTCAGAGCCTCTTCAGGTTCCCCAGGTAGGTCTAGAATAAGCAACTAGGAACAGCATGACTAGAGAGGATGGCATGATGCTAACCTGCCAGTGGCTCCCTGGGAAGGAGATACAACCGTTGGGAGAAACAAGAGGGAAAATGAGAGCTTGCTGACATGGCATCTTGGTCAAGGGGTGCAGGGCTCTTCTAGTTTGTGTCTTTATTGCTATGATGAATGCAACCAAAAGCTACTTGGGGAGGAAAAAGTTTATTTGACCTCTATTTCCAGGGCACACTCCATCACTGAAGGAAGTCAGGGCAGGAACTTAAGGCAGTAACCTGGAGACAGGAGCTAGAGTGGAGAGGAGCTCTGCTGACTGGCTTGCTGGGCGTCTTAGATTGTCCAGACCCCTTGCCTGGGAATGACACCCCCCACAGTGGGATGGACCCTCCTACATTAATTAGCAATTAAGTAAATGTTGCATCAACATACTCACAGGCCAATCTGACGGAGGAGCCTCCTCAACTGAGGTTCCCTCATCCCAGGTGACGGTACTTTGTGTCAGGTTGACAAGGACTAGCCAGTGCAGGGTGTTTGCTCGGAAGGATAATTGTGCCTCTGCCTTGTGCCAGTTCAGTCTGGTCAATGGGGTTCCTAACTAACATTCAATTACACTGAAAACTATAAATTTGTATGTCAATAAGATTTTGAAAAATGTGGGCAAGTTTTGGCATATAGTTCCTATTCACCTATAGACCTGGGACGCCTCAACAATGTGTTGAAAATACTACATTTACATTTCAGTTTCTGTTTATGACATTTATAGTCAAAGATCGGAGTGTCGCAGTTCTTGACTTAACCTAGTTTTGGGGTTGTCTCTATGCATATTTATTTCTAGCTATTATTGTTGTTATCGTTAGTTTCCTTTATAAAATGAATTTCAAGATGGGAAATTGTGTTAGATATTTTGTCCAGGAAAACAGAAATTTACTAATTCTGACTGAAATCACAAATTAATTAATGTCTGAGATTAAGTAAGGAACACTTAAAGTTCTGTCTCTTTTAAACTATTTTGTGTCTCTAGATATATTTAGAAAGTA